AAGAATCATTCTCTCTTTGTAAAGCATACAAAATGAGATATCACAAATTTATTGGCATATATGGTGTATTATTGTAGCAAGAAATAACCCAATAGAAAGAGAATCTTAGAAAATGCCCTTTCAAAAAGTTTAAGATCAAAGAACTTAACAGACTAAAGTATATATTGAGTATCAAAGTCAGTATATGCCAAAGAAAGAATCATTATTTCTCAAAAAAAAAATTTGTATGATCTTCTAAAAGAGATGGGAACTCTTAACTACAATGCAGTTGGAATGCCTGTTGAACTCAATCATAGACTTAGCGAAGAAAAAGATGATAGGATGGTAGAAAGGTGAACATATCAAAAACTGGTAGGTAGATGAATTTACTTATCACATAATAGGCCAAATATAACATATTTTGTAAGTGCAGCGAGTCATTTAAGAATGATTCTATGGAGAAGCACCTGCAAGCTATCCATAGGATTCAACATTAGCCCAAGGCTTATACAAAAGATGAGGTATCTTGTTTAGAAGATGTACATAGCAATTTGGAAGGTTATAAAAAAAAAATATGTTGGCTGAGTTGTAGAAAGAAGATTTACATCAACTAATTGTGCCTTCCCTGCAGGTAATATTGTGAACTGGAGAAGTAAGAAGAAGATTGTGAATGCAAGATCAAGTGTTGAGCTGAGTTTACAGCCATAGCTCATGAAATTTGCTAACTTCTATAATTGAAATTAATTCCTGATGATCTTAAAATCAAAGAGTGGAAGGCCTATGAAGCTTGATAGTGACAACAAAACTGGCATCAATGTTGCTGACACCATAAAACATGACCGCAAAAAACACATCTAAATAGATAGACACTTCAATAAAAAAAAAAAAGGATAGGATCTTAATAAACATTCCCTGCATAATATTAAGCGATTGGCTAACTGATATCATGACCAAGAGCTGATAAAGATTCCTTACAAGCCAGCAGGTACCAAGGGGGGCTAGCTACTTCAAGATTACAAGAAATTACAAGTAAAACATGAATGCAAAATATCTATCCACTAGCTTTAGACTGCTGAAAATCTAAAATATGCACATGAGTTTTGCATTCCTTACAATAGCCAAATCTGCAATGTACAATTTGTTAGACCGGCCCATCCTGGGCCGGCTGGACCGGTCCAATTCTACTCCAGGCGGCACAGTAAGGGGGGCGGAACCCCTAGTGGGCCCCACTTGGGTTTAATGCAAAATTGAGAGGGAAAATTTGAATGAAAAGGGTGTTTTAGGTAATTTGTAATTGTCCGTTTGTCTTTAATTAGGAGTTATGATGAGATTTAGGCTCATCTTGAATTTGAATATTTTGGGAGATCTAGGGTTTGTGTTCTTGGGCTCTAGGCTACGGCTAGAGATTTGGAGAGTCATTCCTTCCTCTCGGATTGAAGGAAATTGTATCTTTGTTTGCGTTCTTGAATCTACTAGTGAAATACATTGTTCTTCTCTATTTTCCTTGAGTTTTCTCCACTAAAACTGCTGCGATTTGCTGTTTTCCTGCTGAAAACAGCAGTTTTCTCTTGTTTTTGTACTGATTTTGGTTAGGTTTACTTGCGAACCCAAGTATTTCCTATCACAATTCTTCATTGTTTGATTTTGTTCACCATACATTTATTCTCTCTCTCTCTCTCTCTATCTATCTCTCTCAAAATCTAAAATTAACAAATTTTCATGGATTAATTCGAGGATCAAGCCTTCTTAATATGGCTCAATCTCCATTTATAAAGATGTAACACTAATTATGACTTGGATAAGACACAATGAATCATTTTCCACATTCAGTGAATCATCTTTCCCATACTTTCTTACGAAGATGGATAAAATCTGATGCAGGACTTATATGCCTAGGCGATGTTTAGAAAAGAATCTTGCACAATTTAATCTAGAGAGTTTTATTAAAACTAAAATACTTGTTGTGATTAAACGTTGAAATAAAATAAGAAAGAGTTGAGACTAGCTTAGACTAAGTCACACAATTAGAAGTTTAGGATCTCAAAATAATCAATGATTCAAAACATAGCATACATGAAAGATTTCCAACAAGAAATCCCTACATTAACAACGAGATTCGTTACAAGGAATCTCTCACTCACTCCTAAATTACTAGGCTTAGCGGAGAGAGTTAATACGATCTTTAGGAGTCAATCAAAGCCACAAATAAAGATAACTTAGAAGACATGAGACTTCGAAGAAAGTTTACATTCGTCAAGATGTAGGAATGTTTAATAGCAAAATACTTGAGCTTCTGGACAGCATTTGGGGATTTTCAGGACAGCGGACAGCAATAGTTGTTTGCTGAAACTTCGGGACAGCAGCTTGGACTTTTTGGACAGCAGATATCGGCTTGGAAAAGTTCTGGACAGTAGTTTCAAAGGCTTCGAAATTCTGGCAAGCACTTTAGCAAGGGAAAATTCAGGGTGGGTTTAGTAGACTGGTTTAAGTGGGAGGGGATGGAAGTGGGAGGGGATGGGATAGTGGTCGGCCAAGACTACTGGGAAGAAAACTTCTTCCAAAAATCTGAAATTGAATTTCAGATTTAAGTGAGAGTGGATTTTAGGGTTTTGAAATTTGAATTTCAAATAAGGGGAAAGAGGGAAAATTATTCCTTAGTGAGAGAATAGATTGACGTCCCTAGAAGGAGAGGAGTTAATGTGGGAGAGAGGGAAATAGAGGGAGAGGGGCCGGCGGCTTGGTGAGATGGATTGGGGTTTAGGGAAGATTATTTAATGCTTGCTCAATTAAAGACCCAAATTAAGGGAAATGATTTAAATCCAATCCAATTCAAAATTAATTTGGGCTTGATTTGAGGAACTTTCCTAAAATAGAGATTTATTTTAGAAAATATTTCAAATTTCAAAATTGATTGAATAATTGAAATCAAAGCTTTCCAAATGAGGCTGATGGGGGGTTTGAATTTTGGAGGTAAGGGAATTGGGCTTGGGTGGCCGGCAACTAGGATTGGGTTAGGGTCAGGTGGCAGTGGGATTTAGTCCATGGCTTAGAGAAGGGACTCTTGTGGGCCGACGGTTAGGAGGTGGGGGAGGGAGGTGTTGGCCGGCGGCTAGGAAGGGGTAGGATGAAAGGGCCAGCGGCTAAGGGAGGGGGGCAATGCCCTTTTGTGGCAAGCGGTTGGAGGGGAAATTTGGTGGGAGGCTGGCGGCTTTAAAGGAGGAGGAGGGGAGGAAAGAAGGAGAAAATAACCACGAGCCCGGACGCTTCCTGCGGCTGGTGGGTGATCCGATTACCTCACCTAGGGATTTCTCTCCAAGAACTCTCAAGCTCTCACAAAAACTCTCCAAGGCCTGATGTGTTCATCAAAATCCCATGCAAGTGAACCCATATTGATGAAAACATGAAAGAGGTGCACAGGCAATACAAATTTTCTAGTGCAAAATCGTGATGTGATGGCTTTTGAAAAGCAAAGCAGCAAAAAACACATATTAACAAATGAAGCAATTGCTGAAATTTTCATAATAATATTCATTAGCTTCCAAGAAGGTGGCCTTTAAATAGCCTCATTACAATGAAAGAAAATAAAAGACCAACTTGCCCCTAGGGCTTACACATGACTAGGCCCTTAAGCGAGGGCATAAACGAAAAAGTACAATAAACTCATGAAACATAATAAAATAATAACTCTAATACAATGATAATAAAAAATAGATCGGTGTGATCATGGTCCTAGATCGTCAGCCCCGCCTTGGTAAACTCTCCAAGGCCTGATGTGCTCATCAAAATCCCATGCAAGTGAACCCATATTGATGAAAACATGAAAGAGGTGCACAGGCAATACAAATTTTCTAGTGCAAAATCGTGATGTGATGGCTTTTGAAAAGCAAAGCAGCAAAAAACACATATTAACAAATGAAGCATAAAATACCTGTAGAGGACATCATACAGAAGAATGAATACACGCATAAATCTGACAAATTTTAAATTTTCTACAAGCACAAGAAGTAAATTTCTCAGGATGTTTAAAAGAAGTAAAGTTTGTATGTCACATGGGCGTAAAAGAACACCGTTTGTTCCAAAGGCCTATGTTGAGGTCATCCGAAATGGCATCAGCAGGTATCAGTCAAGCAGGAGGGAAGGATGGCTGATAGCATCATTTAAACTAAAAACTTTTGTTCACACTCCATCAAATTAGCAAGTGATTTGAGGTGATTCGATATGGCTAAATGCTAGTTTAAATGTACGCAGCTTAAGAATGCAAAATATACCATGAACAAATCCTGTTTTACAGTCATCCTGAACATCATCATTAGACCTTATCCCAATTTACAGCTTAACAGATCCCTGTTCAACAGTTTTATTAAGTGGTAAACCTATTATATACTAATCTTATTTCAATAGTCAATAGCATATTACTGAGATGCACAAAATATGAGCTAACTAGCACTTTTTGTAAAACCCGAAAACGACGATCATAGGGCGCCCGTGTCGCACGCATTTCGATGCGTCACGACGAAATTTAAGTGAAAAATTCAAAGTTAACGGTTTTCGACGGAAATAATTTTATAAAATTTTAAGCAAAATTCTGATCAATTTGGTATATAAAACCTATAGCTAATTTCGATTAATTTTGGAATTAAAAATTGAAGAAGTTTAGGAATACCCAAAATACCCTTATTCATTTCTAAAGCAAATATGGGTAAAGTGAGGGTAAAATGGTAAAGTGATTAATCCCTAACTCCCTTCCTCATAAAGAGACCGAAACCTCCTCCCCTCTTGCGTTATTTTGCTCGTCCGAACCGAGAGAAGGGAGCGGACGGACGGGAGAGGGGCGACGGGCACGTCTCCGGCAAGGAAAGTTGGGGAAATCGAAGAAGGGAAGAAAAAAGTCATTCCTAAGATATGTTCATATGGCATGGGCTGAAGGGAGATGGTGTTGGCAAGAATCTATTCGAAAAAAGTCATTCCTAAGATATGTTCATATGGCAAGAAAAAAGTCATTCCTAATCTTTCCGCTACCCTCTAGCTTGACACCGAATTATAATTTCCCTTCTTTTTCAAGTTTTTTAGAAAGGAAAATTTTAGGGTATGTTAAAAAAAACTTAGAAATTCTTAGAGGAGCTTAGGAGGAATGTTAGGGAAGGTTTAGGAGATAAGTTTATGCAAGGAAATGAGGTTTTTCACAAAAAATGTGAGAGTTAGAAAAATTAGGGCATTTTCATAGTATTGAAAATTTAAGAATTTTCTTGAGAAGCAATGTTTGAAATGATTATAGGAAGGTTTCTAATGTTATAGATTAGGGTTTTTCCACAAAATGTCATTTTTATAATTTTAATTTAATTTAAATCCGAAAATATATTAATTCAATTATTAATTAGGTGTAAGTGAAAGTTCGACATGTTTATATGAGGGAATCAATAAAAATGGGTTTTTCAAATTTAGGGTTTTAGGTTAAATCCGAAAATATAAATTGTTTTGAATTATTTTAAGTAATGATAAAGGGATTACTTGGATTAAAAATGAATTTTTAGAATATACATGTCATATGTTTTAAATTAGAGAGAGAGAGAGAACTTATGGTAGTTTAGGAAGACAAAGAGAACTTTAATTTAGATTTATTATGAAGATTTTGAAGGAGAAATGAATGTTTATAGGTGATAATCGTGGAACTCGAAGAAAGGTGTTCGAGCGGGGTAATTGATAGGAAATACTTGAGTTCGCAAGTAACCCTAAAGTAATACTTGAGTTCGCAAGCAAACCTAGTCAAAATTAGTACAAAAACTGAGGGAAAATTGCTGTCACAGCAGAAAAACAGCACCCACGCAGCAGGTTTTGCACCAAAACAGTAAAAAAAAGGGAGGGAAAACAAAGATTTTACTAGTAGATGCAAGAAAACAATGTAAGATACAATGTTCTTCAATTCGAAAGAAGAACAACTCTCCAAAACTCTCTAGCAAAGCCTAGAGCCCCAAACCACAAGGAGATCTCAAAATTTCAGTCAATCTCAAGATGAAACCCTAACTCACACCTTAACTCCTAATTAAAGCAAAAAGACTCATTAGAAATCCCTAAACAGCCCCTTAATTCAAATTTTCCCTCCTAAAGCTCATTACATTAATTGCTTGGGCCCACAAGGGCTACCGCACAGGTTTTGCACCAAAACAGTGAAAAATAGGGAGGGAAAACAAAGATTTTACTAGTAGATGCAAGAAAACAATGTAAGATACAATGTTCTTCAATTCGAGAGAAAGAACAACTCTCCAAAACTCTCTAGCAAAGCCTAGAGCCCCAAACCACAAGGAGATCTCAAAATTTCAGTCAATCTCAAGATGAAACCCTAACTCACACCTTAACTCCTAATTAAAGCAAAACGACTCATTAGAAATCCCTAAACAGCCCCTTAATTCAAATTTTCCCTCCTAAAGCTCATTACATTAATTGCTTGGGCCCACAAGGGCTACCCCCCCCCCCCCCCTTTTCCTGTTTTATTTTCCACCCAAATATCCCCCCCCCCCCCTCCTCTTCCTGCTCTAATTTCCACCCAAAGTGGGCCGCCTGGAGTAAAAGAGGACCGGTCCAGGCTGTACCGGTCCAGCCAGCCCCTCCTGGGCCGGCGGCATAATAGTAATCAAATCCTTTACATCGAGATAAGTATTCATGGTTCTTTATTACAGTGATACATTTGTTTTCTCTTAAGTTATATGTTTTGAAAGATCAATCATGTTTATAAAATCTTTATGGTTAATTTTATATTCATGATTATATTACTCTTGTTCAATTATTGATCATGCAATTATATGTTACATCTTATGACATTATTATACAATTCATATGTTATAGAAATGAGATGAAATGAGATGATATGATTATGATATAATTCTTATATTGAGTGATTGCTTGTACATGCTGAATTGATGGAGCTCACCCCTTTATGATACTAGCTGGAAACGTTGTACTCGTGCACGTTAAAATGATAAAGGATATGAAAAAGGAAATGGTAAAGTAGTACATTTATGGTACTAAACGGTGGCTCCTGTGACAGTTGTAATATATATGAAATGAGAAAAATACGAATATTGATATGATGAATGAAAAATGAATAGGAAGGATATGAATTTATGATTTATGATTTATGTTAATGTTATGTTTGTAGGAAATCAATTTATGATAATTTTTAAATGAAAAGTGGCATCTAGCATATTGTTCATTTTGTCTTCATTACTGTAATTTAGAATAGTATTTTATTTACTAAGCATTGGCTTACCGTTAGTTGTTAAAATTTTCAGGTTTAATTATTTTAAATCAAAATGAGTAGAAGGGGTGGAAATGTATACCGTAGGAGAGGAGCGCCAGAAGAAAGATAATTATATGAGTTTTACTGATTTTATGTTTATGTGATTTCAAATTTAATGTTTAAGAGGCTATTTCCAATGTTATGATGATAAATTTAGAGATTTAATATTTTAGTCTACCATCCGACCTCCGTTCCCGCCTCGCATATTAGCTTACCAGACCGGGTCGTGACACTTTCATCTTTCAACCATCTGCAGTGCAGCAAGTTGCTATGCAGACAAACATATAGATCACATCATAGCACATAAACATTGGATGGAAAAAGTTCTTCCATAAACCAAAGTTTCAGACTACCTTGCAACCTTAAAAAGCATTAACTAAATGTACTTAAAAGTTCATTTTTACAGAGAAGAAACAATGAATATACAGTTGAAACAAAATTCCATAGCTTTCAGGAGAAGTTTTGTAGCATCCAAAAAAAAAATTCCAAAAAAATACAGCTTGGTTAAAACTTACTAAAGTCACTCCTTCTTTAGAAAGCTCCTCCAATGCTTCACGATCAAAAACGTTCCCATCCAACGGAGATTCATCAATCTGTTCATGGATTTTTCTTCTTACCCATCCATGAGATGCTATATTAATACAAGATCCGATAATATTGTAGTTTTACCTTCCAGTCACCTGTATGAAAAATTGTACCATCTTTGCATCGGAGGACCAAACCACAGCAATCTGGGATAGAGTGAGTTACTCGGAGTGGCTCCACTTCAAATGGTCCAGCCAGGAATTTCTTTCTGCACTTAAATACCTTAAGTCTGGATGGAATGAAAATTCCAGACTCCTTCAAACGCTTCTTGATGAGCTTTTGAGAAACATAAAAGTTTTTTTTTTTCATTCTTCAATGAAAAAACCATTAAAATCTATGACTTTCTAATATGCAAAGGTAGTGTGGAGTTTCATTAGTAGTACCTCCATGGTGAACGAGGAAGCATAAACTGGAGCATGGGAATCTAAAGCTGGAATGACCTGATTCAGTGGTGAAAACAGAAGCAGAAACCATGATGATACTGAATTACTTAACAAATACAAAATATCACAATAGCTTATTAATCAGACTTATGCCACATTAATAACCAACAGCCACAGCTCTGTAAGAAAATGCATGAACCTTTATGAATAGACATAACAATAACTAGATCCTTGGCACTAATCACATGTAGGGTATGCAAAATAAGCACAAAAACAATTGAACCTAATATTTAACATATCAATGGCATTTTAAATCTTCAGGAAAAAAAAATGAAACCTGGTCTAAGTTGTAGGGAAAAGACAATTGTAAATTTTAGACGTGTGATTTTGATGTGCGATACCATGCAACCTCATCATCATAGATCATGTCTCATAAGCGTGGACTTATTTGTCCCTGCCATAGTGGCTGAATCAAACCAAGCCATTTAGCTTGTCAGTTTAAGTGTCTCAGGTTGAAGGAATTCCCCAAGTAAGGAGTGCATCAGTCTTATTGCTGTTTTCAGCATCTCATCATATAGATCAGGATGCCAATGACATGGAGATTGTTTGGGAACCATGGGGGCCTCAATTTCCTCACTGTCTGTAGTGAGATTGACCTAGATGGATTATCAGAGCCCATTTGGTATCCCTTTGCCTTAAAATTTATGTTCTTTCAGCACAGACTTCATAACAGGGTCCTATTGGAGCCACTTGGCCACTACCTAGGCATTCCATTTATTAAGTGAAGAAAATGATGCCTTATATTTTTTCTTTCTTGCATTCTTCAAACCGCTTAAATAAATAAAAGGTGTCATCAACAGGTAGATAAAACAACAATGCAGCATATTGACAAACCAGAATATATACTTCAAGGCAGATGATAGTTAAAAATTATATCTTTAATCAATTATTTGAGCCAAAACTTAGAAGTCGCGATACCAATTTCAAGAGTTCCTTTCCTCCCTGGGGATCCAAACAAAACAGTATATTCTTTCCTGCATCACTCTTCATTTTACTAAAAAGAACTTACAGAAATAAAAAATATTTAAACCTGAAAAATTCAAATTAAACTCTGTTTATTTCATTGCACTTCAGCAATTAAGTTTACACTCCTCATTTTGATTTATTAAATCGAAATACTACATAAAGTAGGTGTGAGATCTAAAAGGATCCAAAAGCTAATGCTTCCCTCCGCTCTTGCAGAGTTTCAAGATAAAATGTGTGTGCATTGGGATTTTAAAGGTAGATTGAGTTGAAATGGTCCCAGAGATTTCCCATAACAAGATGGCGGAGTTACTGAGGTTTACATCAATTTTAGATGACTAAGTTATCCCATAAGCGCAAGCCTTTAGGATAGTCACATTCTTGCCTATAGGTGAAAAACATCTTAGATTAAGGACATCAACTATGCTTTGCAAACAAACTTGTACACATTCAAAATATAGGAAGGAGAACAGGTTTTCGACCTGATCAAAATCCCATAATCTCATTGTCTTGGATCAACCTAATGACAAACTCTACTAACAAGAAAAAGCTTAGAGGCACACCGTCAAGAACGCTTAATTAGCAACTCTGTGTTGCCTCATCTTAAGAATCCCGAGCATCCCTAGGTGGTATCATGAAGAGTTTCAAATTTCATCTTGGATGGGAAAGGCCCATGAGTAAATGTATGACTGGCCATGATTCACAAGTACAAAGATGTGACACCAAAGGTTCAATGGCATGCTCGAACCATTCATATAGAGATTGGCACAGAGGCGCGCAATATAGTCAATACAATTATGAGGTAGAGAATGGCCAATCCAGCTATCCAAGGACAAACTTAAGCCCACCTTGAATGGGGAAAACCTCAAGGCACATAGAGAATGGATGGATGTAGTTGTTGTATTGTAAGGCACTCCTTATATTGTTGTAGTCTATTTCAAACATTTGATTTGCTAGTTATCTAGAAAGTTTGACCCCTTACTCATAAGATGATTAAACCACATGCTAAGGGATAGTGTGTAGTATCCATGAGTTGCCTCAAGAAGGAATCTTGGGTTAAGCTCAAGCTCAAATTGAAATTTGGCTTGCTTTGCGGAGATGCTTTCAACATGAGATAAAGTGCAATATGCTTTAATAAATTTCGAGTTCATCATAATGGACTAGTTAAAGGACGAGAAGCTTCAACATATGTCAGCCCAAATGTGGAGACTAGAACTTAAGGCATAAGCAAGCCAAGATGGAAACAAGAACCTATTATAGTGTTAGCCAAAAAAGACAAACAAAAACATTGGGCATCTACCAGGCCAAATAAAAATGAAAACTAATGACATATATTGGCCCGAAGTTATTCAATTGAAAAGATAGGCTCACAATCCAAAGGAATGCACATAGATTTTGAAAAGAATCAAGACTTACAGGATGAATTATTTAAAGATTGAATTTGGTTTTACTTATTAGAAAGTGGCTAACCCAGGTTGGGTAAATTAAACTTCAAAAGCATGGGATCATAGCTTGAAGGTTGTGCATCAAATATAATCATTTTGAAGTTCACATGTACTAGAGGCCTAACCTAGGACTTATAATCTTGAGGATAAGAGAGGCCCAAATGAGTGACTTAAGACTCTAAAGGTGGTTTGTCATCCCAATCAAAGGGTTGGAGATTACATCCAAAATAACATCAAATAATATGACTTAAAACCTTGAGGGTATAAAAAACCCGAAAATGTGACAATTATGGAGACAGAGCAATCCTAATTTATAACTTACAACTTTGTGTCAAGAGAAGCTCATAAATGAGCCTTACAACCTTAGGATTTGAGGAAAGTCCATGATGGAACTTAAACACCCAACTATAAAGGCAAGACTAGCAAAAAGTGTTTTGATTAGTGAATATTTGCATAAAATATTCTTGAAAGGCTATACAAATGCAATGTCAAACATCTAGACAAAATACAAAGGTAGGTTATCGAGCCTCGGGATGCACCCTACAAGTCAATGAACCATATCTGACCACTAAGAGCTAAAGTAAATTCTCTAGAGATTGGGATTAGGTGTCCACTCATCCTACAAAAATATCGACCCTCTTATTGTTCTATCAAGTACCGACAAAGCTAAATAGATTGATACATAGTTTGAAAGTTGGTTGAGTTGGCCGAGTTATTTTAAAAAGACATATATGTTTATTTTAAGTGTCTTGCATCCTTGGTCTCTATCCAATAAGGGTATGATTTAAGTTTCATATTTTTATATAAAAATTGAATATTTTAGTTCGATAGGCAATCAAACAATTTTGAAGAAGCTATCCAGGCCATCGAAGACAACCAAGGGTTCCATGTCCCTTCATTTAACCAGAAAAGAAGATTCCCTCAAGTTCAAAAGTTTTTAAGAATCGAGCAAAATTCAATTATTATTTTACGACCAAAGATAAATTGGTAATATTTCAATCAAAAGGAGATAAGGGGAGACTATCCTACAATTTGATCTAAGTCAAAGTTTGCTATCTACAGGTCGTGATGAGTCCATAGAAATTTGTATTTTCAATTGTTTATTCACCTACTTATGTTGTATGTTTGGCATGCATATTTTATGTTCATTTGTGCTTGTTCATAATGTTTTGCATATCATGCATGGTTAATTATTCTATTCATCTGCAACACAAAGTGGCAATCTACTTGATCCTGGGACTCCTTAAAAAAATTTTGGCAATGCTTTCATGTTATCCCCGCAAAAGGCTTAAAAAAGAATGAACAAAACCACTATAATTTAAAAAGGTATGTACAATGTAGTTCCTGAGTCACTACGAACACATTCTTGTTGCTTGTCTTACCACACCAAGAAAGACATATATAGGTGGTGTCCAGCATCAAGGCTAAATTAGCCAACCCAAAATGAAGAAATATAAGTATAGGCTCTTAATTTGCAAGTGACAGCAATAAAAAAAGTAAAAATAGTTAAAATAATATAAATAAGATTTTGTCACTAAAACTCCAAATATATATTAAAGAAAAAAACATAACTACTAAAGTAAATATCTCTCCCGGAGAGTCGTATAATATGGTATACATTCTCTTCTTCTACTCATTTAAATTCTTCGAATAATATATGTGTACATTCACAAATATAGGGTTAACTTATAACACAACTCAGTGAACACGTCATGCTTCTAAATAATAGTCATACAATGCATTTTGAATAATATGCATGCTATAAAATATAAAGTAATTGTACTTCATAACATTTAAGTTTGAAAATGTCCATCAATCATATTTTATGCATATATATAACACTCATATCCTATTTTAGCATTTTTCGAAACTAATACAATTGTCATAGAAGATGCCGTCTAAATAGTACCAATTAAAAAAAAAAAATTCAATTCATTTTTCATAATCTTTTAATTTCATGTGTACAGATATATTGCATCCCCAGTTAGTACCATAAGAAGGTGTACTTCATCAATCAACATGTGCATGCAAGCACTTCTACATAAATCATTTTATTTGCATTTTTCATATCAGTATATCATAACATTATGACTTTAACATGATAAAACTTTCATGTCATTCAATTCAATATGAACAATTATCAATAATAGAGATAAGTTATAAATAATTAATAGATAAATATCAATAATAAATGATGCATCAGATTTAGAAGAATCAATGTCATTATCATAAAATAAAAAAAGGGTACTAACACATTCAAGAGACAAGCTTTTGCCACTTTAGTTTTTTACTTTGCCTCTAATAGTTTGATACATATAATCACATGAATAAGATACCTTTATTATCTTAATTATAAATATATAAATTATTTTAATAATACTAGACTATTATGCATACCTAAGTCACTCACAATTTCTATTTTAAAAAATTTTCATTAATTCAAAATATTATAAATACAAAAATTATTTCTAAAATTTTATTTCCTTACCAATTTATAAAAAAATGTCTAAGAATATATATATGAAAATTTTAAAAATAAAGTATTCATTAATTTAAATAAAGCTCTATAAATATCCAATCTAAAAACATTTAATTACATTCACTAATCTTTTATAATCCTAATATATATAAACTTCATCATTTTAAAAACATTTAATAATAAAATATAGGATTCGACAAAATAAAACAAAATTTCTTACATTTCTTAACAAATGTACCCTCAAACCATGCCCTAGCTGCTCGTACAGACGACTATATGCTCGATGGCTTGTCATAAGCATTTGTCTCAAGCATTTGTCTCCTGCTTGAGCTTTTTATCCCGTCGCCACAGGCTGCTCTACCCACTCACACCCCCATTCAATGGCTTTCTCATAGGTTTCATTATGCTCTCCTTCTTTATCTCTCCATCTCCCTCTCATCTCTCGGTGATTTAAAGGGATAAAACCTCTTTTGTTCTTCCTCAAATCGAAACGCACCTTCTTGCAACCCAAGCAAAGGAGCGAACATTCCTCTCCTCGCAACGGAACGAACCCACACATTCAATTAGCCCAACCTTTGTCTTGCATGAACCCCGGCGATGGAACAACTTTTGTCTTCCTTGAATCCTTAAGCAAAACTGATGTTTGTTGATTTGGGTTATTAGACTCTCACACCAAAAAAGATGTGCATGCTCTGTACCTATAAACCTCTACTATGTGGGCAAGCAAAATGTAGACTCCTGTGAGCATAATCCACAAAACATAGACCTAAGACAAAAAACAACATAATATTATTTATGGGTATCACCTCATGCAAGGGCATACACCGCAAATATTTCAAAAAAAACGCTCAATTATTTGAAGAGGATTTTTTTTCTCAAGAATTTATCATTTCAAAATTCTATAAATTTTGAATTATATCACCATCTCCCCTTCTATTTATAAACAAGGAATAGAGAGACTTGCAATAAACTGGGGACGTGGCCCCAATCCATGACCAAGGGTACAGTAAAAAATGATGAAAAGTATGTTATTGGGTGATTTATAGGATTGATTGAGCCTAAGGATGATGAGGGCCCATACGAATTTAAAGCTCCGTAGGGCCATTGCCAAAACCCTAATAAGATCTCATGGGACCTAAGATCTTTGTTAAGGGATGTTTGGCGTCATTTTGTAAATGCAATTTGTCCTTGATGCGCCCAATGAATCATCAATTTGTGACAATACACATTGATGTTTTCAGAGATTGGCTAAGCCCCTTTGTAGGTATGATAAGAGGCCATCAAAATTTTGATCCCCACAAGGACCTGCAAGTCCCATTTGGATCCCATGGGATCTGAAATTAGCATGTACAAGTCCACTTCTAAGGGGCAGCTTCGCATTGCCTCTTTGCCGCAAAGGGGACCTTGCGCACCCAATAACTTGTGGATGACACAAATTGAGGTGTCTAACTACACCACCAAATAGTGAGCCCAAACCAGAAGGGAGGTCAATAGTGATGCATAATAAAGGCTGTTTGTCTGTCTCTTCCTTATCTCATTAATGCAACTAAATCTTTAGCATAAAAATATTCATAAATTAGACGTGCTTCATTTCAAATTGGGGCCTTCTTTTATATTGAATTCATGCCTAGGGATATTTCACTCCCCATTCACTAAATACATAGATATGGATCAGAATGAAGTGCAGGTGACCTACATGTAGCAAAACTAGGCGAATTTGACCAGAACAAATAATTGAACAAGTCTACACATCGCAGATTAAAGTTAGATGAAATTTAGATTTGTAATACGAGACACAATATAATCAGGAAAATCTGTAGGAGTAAACTATGCAAAATAAAGAGGAGAAACCATGCAAACGCAGCATAAATGCAACATTAAAATATTTAGCAGGTTTTCTTAATCAGAAGAGTCAACTTAATAAGCAGGTTCAATAACAATGTAAATAAAATTCTGAGTGACTAGGTAATCAGTTTAAGACAATAAAACTGTTAATCACCTCAGCAGTTGTCATCAAATTTTCTAGATTTTCAAATATTCTATAATATTTTATTACAATGCATGCAATCTGACTAAATACACAAACCTATTAAGAAATCTACATAAAACAAATATGCATTGCAAATGGAGTACAAATTATTTGATATTTGGTAAAGAAACAAAGAGCAAGAACATCAATGTTGCTAATAAGCTCTAAAAATCTCAACCAAGAAGAGTTTGTCAAGTAAGAAAATGCAGGCCTACAGAAAATACAAGTCTATTCAATATAGAGAGCAAAATGGCAAACATGAGATCAAGGAGGTTAGGCATGCTTCATAGTTGATTATAGTTAATAAGAAGCATTGAATTAGTCCACCACACATAGTAGTTGCTTGAAGAGGAAAATATTTACCCAGGGCAACGCACCAATGTGATCCTCATGCCCATGAGTTATAACAACAGCTTCAATTTTATGGCTCCATCTTTGGATGAATGAAGTATCAGGTATAATTTTCTGGACACCTAACTCATCATAACTGTACATAAGTTATCCAATCAAAGGAAGCAAAACAGAGGTAAAGGATACGCACTAATTTGTACCAATTCGATCAATGAAGGAAAAAAGTTAATATGCGAATAGGCATCAACTTAAAGAATAAAAAAGAATTTATCTCAAAACAGAACGTGGGACTTTTTCATAACTAATAAAGGAAGTTTGCACGCTTCTCTATCATGAGACACATACAAAGAAGACGTAAATCACATTTACTAAGCAAACTTATCAAATATCCATTAACAAAGTAAGTTTAAAATAACTCTTTAATAAGGTGACTACTTTTACCAATTAAAGAAAGGAAACACCTATCATACTTATGCTGGTATCATTTTTTTAATTTTCTTCATAGAAAAATAGACAATGGGAGATTTTATGATTGAATGGTATTCTTATAGAGTTGAATAAGCCATCATTTGTGGCTTGGCCTCAAAAATGTGGTTGTTTCATTCCTTGCAACTGACGATATCCAGTAATGTAGCAGAATATGAGATTTTTGGCTTTCTCCTCAAATCCAGGATGACTATTTCGGCAGCTAATCCATTATTCCTTTATTCGTGTCTATCCTAAGAGGGGAAATGTTGCTGGTTTCTGTTAGTGATATTATTGCGGTTTGTTCCCACAGACTACAATTTTATTATGATTTAAGTTCATGCAGGTTTTTTTCTTAGTTTTGTAATTAAACTTGGGTATAAGGCATGCACAAAATTTATTGATCGAATAAATTTTCTAGAGGTATAATGTTAGAGACTCAAATAATTAAAAGAGAAGTTACCTCCTTATACAAAAAAGAGGCCAGCTTTTATGGTGAATTATTTCCCCGCTTTTTTCTTATTTTTTCTTATTCAATTCCTTATTTTTCTGCATTTTTTCATCATATAGATATAATAAAGAGATCGTGAATAACGAGTTTTGCTACCGATTGGAATTTTGCCAACAACAACAATATCATCATCAAGCATTTATCCGACTACGTGGTGTCAGCTACATGAATCATTTTTCTCCATTGTATCCAATTAAGAATCAAATTCTCATTTAAATCTAATATAAAAGGGCATTTATAATACTTTCTAACCACGTCTTTTTCGGTCTACCTCTACCTTTCTTAACATAGGCCGAATCTAATACATCTAATCTCATCATTGGATCATCAAAAGGCCAACGTTTTAAGTGACCAAACCTTCTAATGCAATTCTCTCTAACCTTATCTGCAACCGGAGCTATTCTAACATTCTCATGTATATATTCATTTTGCATTCTATCTCTAAGTGTAAAACCACTCCTCCATCTAAGCATCCTCATCTCTGCAACCCTTACTTTTATGCTTCTCTTTGAATGGCCAACATTCTACATCATAAAGGATTGCAGGTCTCGCCACAATCTTCCAAATTTTTCCTTAAATTTGAGAGGTACTTATCTATCACACAACAAGCCTGATGCATTCCTTCAGTTCAACCAACCAACTTGAATTATACTAATAATATCCCCATTTATTTCACTATCATCTTGAACAATAGACAAGAGATATCTAAAATGTGCAATCTTTTTAAGGGCTTTATCACCCATGCCACAATCACACCACTTGATCTATTACTATTAAAATTATAAATCATATATTTGGTTTTAGATCAACTCAAACGAAAACCTTTAAACTCTAAGATTGACCTACATAATTCAAGTTTTTCTTCAACTCCCTCTCTAGTCTTATCAACTAGAAGAATATCATTAGCAAAAAGCAAGCACCATGGTACATCCTCTTGCAAAGGTCTAGTAAGAACATCCATTACTAAAGCAAAAAAAAAATGAGCTTAAAGCTGACCCTTAATGTAAACTGATGAAATTCAAAAATACTTGGCCAAACCACCTTGTGTTTGAAGACAAGTAACAACTCCTATATACCTATATACATATCCTTAATGACCTGAATATAAGCATTATTAATTCATTTCTTTTCTAGAGCTCTCTAGAGCACTTCTATTTGACATTTATCATATGCTTTCTCTAAATCAATAAATATCATATGAGGATTTCTGCCAATTGCATGAAATTCAATTGTGTGTGCAGCATTTTTGATATTTAATCCTACTCATCAATTTTAAATTAAAGACGATAAATTTTAATTTAAATTATTTCTTATCATTTTTCTGATTTCCATCAATAATAATTCATAGCTGCTTTAGTTTAATAATTCGTGACCCTTGAAATTTACTGGATTAGTTGTTTGATTCCTCAATGCATATTAGATCGATATTAAAAATAGAGATCTTAAGACATGTTATACAACTCTCTTCCTTCCGCCTATGTTATTCAATAATTATAGCCTTCAAAATTGCAGTCTTGTTTCTATCCTTCTTTTACTTTGCAACCAATTACTATCACAATTTTCATTATCATGGATCACTATGATACCCATGTTCCCTTAGTCTTAGGTTCATTTAATACTAAAACTGACAACCCATATCCAATGGGGGTTGCAAAACATCCATTTAATATATTATTAGAATGAAAAGAATTACCTAAAGTAATCACAATTGGTTTGCACCTTCTTCAAGAGAAGAGGGAAATTAGGCCATTTACTTGGGCATTAGACCACAACAAGGCGATCCCACATTCAATGTGATGGGGGCATCGACAGGAGATTCTGGCGCGTTTATCAGAGATGACACCGGAGATCGATGGCCATGATGGAGGGCCTTTACTACTGATGACTTGTTGTATTTGCATTTCATATATTACTTGCTTATTTTCAATTTTTTCCCCATTTTACCCTTGTGGGTATTAGTTCTCTTTTGTAGCCCGAGGGGCATTTTAGACTTTTGTACTTGCTTTCATTTGGAGCCTATTTATATGGCTCTTGTATCTTGTATGAGCTAATGAATTGTTGAATGAAATTTTCTTATGCTTTGTTCTCTTTGTGAGTTCAATATCTTTGAGATCTCTTAGTGAGTTCACTTGGAGAAATCATCCAAGGCTTGCAACCCTTAATCTCTTGCCTCTCCGCTATAGAAGATCCCAAGTAAAGAAGAGGAAGCAAAGAAGCTCGAGCCCCTTGTTGCCACCGCCCCTAGAGCTACCCGCCGGCCACCCTAGCCTCGCCGGCCGGCCACCTTGCTGCCGGCCTTCTTTCCCCTCCACCACCTCCCCACATCTCCCTCCCCTACTTCTCATTGAAATTTGAATTTCAAATTTCAATTTCTTTCCAAATTTGGAAATTCTATTTATGGAAAAATTTTGAATGAATCCAAATTTAAAATTAAATTGGTTTGAATTTAATTTTAATTTTTCCTAGTCATCTTTTATTTTTGGAAACCCCTCCCCCTCTCTCCCTAACTCCCTCTCTCTCTAGCTATGCTGCTGGCCCCCCTATGTGGAATCCCCATTAATTAGGCAATTAACTCTCCATCTTATTTGAAATCCTAATTAAGTCCAAATATTTTTCCCTCCACTTACATCAAAACTGAAACTAATTTCAGTTTTTCAAATCCCCCTCCCCCTCTCTCTCTACCGCCGGCTCCCCCTATGGCTCCATTCACTTAAATTTTCTTTAATGCCTTAATTGCCTTTTAATTGGAAAATCAAATCTCAATTTTTCCCTCCCAATTCCCTTAAACTGAAATTAACTTCAGTTTTCCAAAGCAAATCAACCCCTCTCCCTCTCTCTACCGCCGGCCTCCCCTCCTCCTCTTCAAGCCGCCCCTTCCTATCCTTGGGTGGCTCTTGGTGATTGCTCGTCTTCAAATCCATGGTGTATGGCGGATCCCGCCATTGATCAAGGACTCTTCTACGACATCTACGGAGATATCCACGTCTTAAGATCTCCTTTCTTCGACGTTGGATTTGGCTTCAACAATACCGTCGAAGAGTGCTTGGACCGGATTTTACCAACATTAGTGGACGCCGTCGACGACCAATTCTCCGACTACACGTGGATCATTAAAGGTCGTCCTCCCGTGCCACCTACACCTCCAAGTTCCTTCTCCTTGGCGATGTTCTTTGTCTCCTCCCTCCTCGTGGCAACCTCGTTTCTAGCGTGGACGATCTTCCGCAGCTCAACCTAGTTTCGTAGGAAAAGAGAGAAAATGCCTCAAGGTGAACAACTCCTTATTAATTGTTGGATTCAAATCACTAGCTTTTAACTTTACATTCTCCTTTGTATTTGCTTAAATTGTTTGGCTAATTTCCTTGTAATTCCTTTGCCTAAGCAAGTGGAATACTATGAATTCTTGTAATCGATTTTAATTTGAAGCATGACTATATAAGTGGTTAAGCTATTGTTTAAATCTTCTTATTAATCTTGTGTAACTCAACTCATGCATCACATCACAATGCTTGGGTTGAGCAAGACTCTAGGGTCTAGTCATAGAACTTGCCAGTTCTTAATCAAACATCAACTTGGCAGGTTTTAAGATAAATGAAAATTGCATGAAGCATCCCAATTTTATGAGATCAAGATTAAGATCTCATCCACAAACCAAGGGGAAGGATCCATCACAAAATGCTCCAATCTACTATAAGGCTTTTAAGAAGAGATGAACTATTATCAATTTATCCAAATGGAATGCAATAAAAATGCATCTATCCTTATAATGTTTGTTGAAAAAAATAGAATTTTTCCATTAAAAATTGACTTTGATGCAGCAAAGGTATGAATTCCCCAAAAAAATATGGTTTAACTTCACTAATGAAGCCATTCCCATTATTTAATAGGTAGAAGGGAGAAGGGAGAAGGGGAGTCAATATTACTAATAACCTTGTCGAAGGTTCAACCTTAATAACAAAGTCGACATCAAGTACTTTGATTCAAAGGTCTCTTATCCTAAGGAGCACAAGCAGCCAAATCCAATAAAGATGAACAATAAACTTTATCTATGGTGCGCATGTTGCAAAAAAGGCTTGATATACAAAATATAAATGTTGGAAGCTTCATCACAAACCAAGCAAAAACAAGACAACACAAGGAGGGCAGGCAAAAGAACATAGACA